AAGCCCCATAGATGTTAGAGCCAAAGCGTTCTTTCTAAGCTTATTCCTGCCTGACTTCCACTGTGGTTTTCACCATGATGTCTTAAAAGACCGAAGTGCCTAAGGTTCATGTTGGGAGGCCTGGGGAGAGGAGGTGGAACTAAGGGCACACCCTCTCAGCCTGTGCCTCAGCCTCCCCTGGGGCACTATGAGTAAATATGTGGGCATAAAGTTATGACTGATGATTTGTTCACCACTGGAGTATAAACTCCATGAAGGCAAGGACCAGGCCTGTGTTGTTGGCTTCTATGGCTACGGCAGTGTGCCTGGCAGATGGTAGACAACCAATAAACACAACTTGCGTGACTGAGTAACTAAACGGATGGGCTCCCTCTTCAGTCCTCAGTTCAGGAACCCTATCGTGCCCCAGAGAGTTCCAAGCTTCTCAACCTCTTCTCTACATGCTGATTTCTATGGCCCACATTTCTAGGTAAAGCACAACAAGTTAAATCCAGTGCCAGGAAAACTGGTGTGGATTGTATTATTTAGGGCTTATCAATTTTCCTATTTTGTCGAATGTAGTTAGAACTAAGCAGTTTCTTTTAATCCCAGGATTTGTGAAGAAACAACATGCGTTATTTAAAGAGCAACAACAAAAATAAACACTTGTAAATATTGCACATTCCTTTGCAAGCAGAAGATTAATACGATAATATTATTGTATTGGGAATACAGTCAGTGAAATGCAAACCTTGATGAGAGAAATTGCCTTCCTTCCTGGAGAAGAGTCACAGGAGACTGGAGAGAAAATTATTTTTCTCAGCTCCGGTCCTTTAGGGCATCAAAGCTTCCTGAGAAGGATTATGCATCGTGCAAAGTGTTAATGTACCTTATTATTCCATGTCTCTCCGATGAATTCTTTGGAATCAATAAAGGTACTTAACAGCTAAGAATTACATTAGGGCACATTGCAATACCAGGAATCTCTTAGATTAATATAACACCTATCTTCAGCAAGTTCTTTGAAGCAATCATAGAGGATGAATAGGTTTTCCTGCTGTGCGAACCCAGTGAATCATGGCGATTTAGTGTGTTTTTCTCCTTGTGGATTTGTTAGCTGTGGGTAGGACAGAGCTTATGAAAGTATTGCAAGTTTCCTGTATGTTTAACTTTCTGTTGGTATGTTTTTAAAATATGTAAGTTCACTAAGCATGTGTCCAAAAAGTGGCTGAAAGATGGGGGAAAATGCTACTGCTCTTGGACAGAGAATTTGATTTAGTATGTAGCCCGGAAGATGAGAGGGAGATAGGGAAGGTCGAATAGCTCTGCGAGACAAAACACAGAAAATGTCACAAGGCAGCCCTTTGAACAATCAATTCCTGAAGGGTAAAGGTGGAGGCGTTGAGAGTCCACGGGGGCTGGTGTGTTCTTGAGAAGAAATGAATTGACCCTTGAAGGGAAAAAATATGAGTGGCAGAAATGAGCACTGAGATTATTTCAAGAGGCATCCAAGGATGACATAGTATTTGTGTTGATTATGAGTTTCTTGCAAAACTTTTCTATTTCAAATTCATTCTCAAGGGCAGATGAAAAGTAAAAACCTGCATGGGTATCATCAGATAAAGGAAATCAAAAGCCAGTATTTTACCAATGCTGGGGAACCAGCTCGAGCTTCAGAGGCACCTGCTATGCAATGTTTTTCTACCTTAAATATTTTGTAAACCTTGTAGCCGTAGAGGATCCTGTAACTAGAATATTCCATGGCTTTGTGACTTAACCATCCTTTGATCACTCAATGATACTACGGTCATTTGATAAAACAACCTGCTCCAACATGAAACAGCATAAAACAGGTCTTCCCTGATCCCTGCTGATAATGCGCGGCTATCCAAAGTTGCAGAAGTCCCTCCTTGTAAAACTGAGCCACGTATGACAACTTGAACCCATTCACAGATTTGTGTTCATTTGGAAAAACTTCCAATAGAACGCACTTTTCTAGACTCTGTGTGTTGCTGAGGGTTGTGTGAGATATTACGGCCCTGAGTCCAGCTGCTTCCTTGGAACCATGAATATTTTCTACACAGGCACATGCAGGGGAAAAGAGAGGCAGTTATCTGAATGGTACCATCCAAGAAAGCTGCCAAGGGGTGGGGGAGAAACAGAATAGTTTGGTTAAATCCACTGCATATTTATTCAACATTTTTTGCATCCTCTTTGCTTGTATGCGTATAGGGCTTCCTTAGAATGTACTCATTTAGAGAGGCAGTAGCTGTGATTCCTTGTAGAAGGATTTTTTTTTTCTCAAGTGCAATGAAAACACAGGGACTATTCTGATGACACTTTTGGTTTCTGTTCTGCAGGCCTGGGGCAGAACTGCTTCTTTGAATCAGTCTTATCCCAGTGCATTCCAGCTTTGATCTTCTCTCGCTTTTCACCTCTGTGCTGCCAGCATGACCATCACTTTCCTAAAGCGAATAGGAAGACTATAGTCAAATTTATCAGGAAACATCTGTGGCTTGATAAACACCTCCTCCTCCACCTCCATACTAATTAATTTCAGTTCTAATCACTTTATTCTTTGTGTGAAACAAAACATCTAAATTTGTTCATCCCAATCTTTGTCTACCTTCAGATTCCTAAAAATGCCCCAAAATATGCATTAACATAAGGTTCTGAGAAGCAAGCTTTCTCTCTTACCCCTTGGCATTTTTCAACTTGAAAACTTCGTTGTCAGAGAAATTGGATGCAAAACATTCTCCCTTCAGCCAAAGAAATATTTCCCGTATCTGGTGATGTTGCTTCTTCAAAGTAGATTTTCTTATTTTGGTTTCAGATCACATTAATTGCACTATTTATTTCTTTTCCCTTTGAGATTCTTTTTCATCTGTTTTTGCTCTCTCCTGAATACATTTCCTACTAGCAGGAAGCTCTAAATGATGAATAGAATCTTAACCTTACCAAGCTTTAAGGCACTGATGTCTACATTTTGTGTTTGCTGATAGCAGGAGGCTTTTTAGTAGGGAAAGGTGTTGTAAGATTCAAATTAGAAAAAAAAAAAGATGATTGTCTTCTGATCAAAGTCTTACACAACAATCTGTGGGTTTTAGAGAAGTTGATTGGTGGCCACCTACGGGTTTGGACTGTGCATTGTCAAAAGAAAGTGGCAAAAAGCAACATGGCTACTTCTTGGACCTGCCTAGAAACACTGAACAAGGTTTCAATCAATCTTCCTACCTGTTAAATAAAACACCTGGGAAGCATATAAATAATGCTCCGGAGAATAGGGTGTCATAGTGGAAAGAACTCTGTGTTGGCAGTCAGGAAGCCTGGGTCCTAATCCCTGACTTACCCCTAACCTCCACATTTGACCTTTGGCTTGTTGTCACCTCTCTGTGGCTTGGCTTCTTCCATTTGTGGAATGAGAGGGTAAATGAAGAAAATGATCTCTAAGTCCTTTTGTAGTTTTAATAAACAGTGATGTCATAATTCTATGGTACTCAACAATAAAATGGAAGGACTGAATTGAGTCTTGAGTTTCTCTCCCTTTGCATTATGCAAATCTGGAAACCTTCAGCATATGGATAGGGGAGGGTCACATTCTACAGTAGGATTAGTAACCCTGCTTTTGGAGTGGAGGGAAAATGCGGGGACCTGGAGAATGTAAAGGTGTGGGACTGCTCCTGTGCAATCCCAGGTAGAGAGGATTGGGCAAGCATGATGACTGCAGAGATAACCACCGTAGCAGGGCATTGGCTGAGCTTCTGAATCAGTGTGTTTAAACCCTTGTGATTGCCTGAGTGTTAAGAATACTAGGATCATCTTTTGTTCAAATATGTGGTCTTTGACCCTGGTTCTGGACACAGAGCTCCTAAATCCCTTAGAATTTCCTGCGTGATAAGATCGTCTTTTGTTCTAATGAGGCAACTCTTGGTGGGCTCTTGGATGAAGGCTAGTCATTAGAAAAACCAAACCATGATTAGAAGCCTGGAACTTTCAGCCCACCTCTATCCTCCAGGGAGAGGAGAGGGGCTGGAAATTGAGTTAATGTTGAATCATGCCTATGTGATGAAACCTCCATAAAAATCTCAAAAGTACGGGGTTCAGAGAGCTTCCAGGTTGGTGAACACTCCCATGTACCTAGACGGTGGCGCACCCCAACTCCATGGAGACAGAAGTTCCTGCTCTCAGGACCTTTCTAGACCCTGCCCCGTGTACTTCTTCATCTGTCTGTTCATCTGTATCCTTAATTGAATCCTTTGTTATATAATTAACTGGTAAACATGTTTCCCTGAGTTCTGTGAGCTGTTGTAGCAAATGATTGAATCCAAGGAGGGAGATATGAGAAACTCTGACTTGTAACCAAGTAGGACAGAAGTTGTGGGTCACCTGGAGACCTACTACTGTGATTGGCGTCTAAAGTGGGGGAAATCATGAGATCCAGCCCTTGAGCTGTGGGGTTCATGATAACTCTGGCTAGTCTCAGAATAGAACTGAGTTGTAGGACATCCATTTGGTGTCACAGAGGATTGCATATGGGCGAAAACCCCCACACCTTTGGTAACCAGAAGTGTCAAAAGTGAAGTGTTCTGTGAGGGCAGTAAAGGAGGCGCACATGAGTGTTTTTTCCTTTACGGTAGCCTTCTGTGGAAATCTTCACTTTACCTCTTTACCAGGTCCGGAAGGCATTCGTATTTCTAACTCAACTAGTATTTCTAACTCAACATAAGTGTATACTTCTGTATTTTCCCAGAAAAATATAATGGGTTATGTCAAATCCTGCCATAGTCAACTCTACAGCATGGGCGTAAACCTGAATGGGAAAACCTTTCATTTTCAAGACTCTCAGCCCATCTCCCAGTCTCCCTCCCAGTCCCTGCAGTTCCTTTCTAACTGGCACACACCTCTTTTGTCTTCCCCCCAAGCGTTGTCTCTCCTAAAAATGGAAGGACGTGGCATGGCTGACCACAGCAGGTGAAGTGTCTGACGTCATTTTCTGTTATTTTTATTCCCCTGATTCTAAGGCTTCAAAGTGAAACGCTGTCCTGGCCAACTGTCAACCTCGAGCTGGTGAACACGTCGTCAGGTTCACATGAAGGAATTTTACCTGTGTCTCATTGGCTCAAGGTAGCCTTGGTTTATGCCTGTTGCCCTGTAGCAAGTATTAATAGCATCCCCTTTTCCTATCAAAGGGTCCTGGGTTGCACATTAAATGATATAGACACTCTAGCTTTGCCTATCATGCCAGGAACCACACTGGTGTCAAGAAGTCCTGATTACCTGGATTCAGATGGTAACTTTAAAGTATTTTTTGGTCCATGTATTGATATATAAAGAGCTCATGAGGTCACCAGATAAAACAGTCTCCCCATGATAAATATCCATTAATTGGGTACAAAGGCAAATCAGAAATAGGATTCATTGTCTCCATTTTCCACGATTATCTCCTGCTTAGTATGGGGTGCAGGTTGTTATGGTGATGAAGTGCAGCTCACGTAGAGGATAATTATAAAGGATATCGCACTGTGGCCTGGAGATGTCACATCACTTATTTCCCTGATGTCTGTGAAGACTGGCTGGTCGAAAAAGTAGGCATGAGTACTGTGGAGGCTTGGTTCTGGCTACATCAACATCCTGAAATGCAGAGCTATGTGAGACTGACCTTTTCCAGGTCCTCCTCTGAGCTCTTCTTTCTACTCCAGTCCCCTTTCTCTTCCTCCCATTCTTCACACCCAGAGGTTGCATGAAGGAAGCAGGAAGCCTAGCTCATTCCATTTTGACTAATGGTTAGATTAAGAAAGTGTCTATAGAGTTGAGTCAATTATATGAGTGTTGAGTTGTCGTGGGGCTGCTTTACAGTTGATGGAGCCTGGATAGTTCTTGGCTTCTGTATCTGGTATTCTGCCATCAGATAATATCAAATTCAATTGATTGTCATTGGGTGGTTGAATATTGTTTTGTATCCTAGTTCCGTTTAATCAGTGTCCCTGTATTCATCACTGACATTCTGGCAGCATGGAGAAAAGGCACTACTTGCAGTGTTCATAGGTAATGAATGCTTGATCTTTAGAGAAGCAATCATCCACACAAATTCAGTTTATTTTAAAAATTTTCCCAGATTATGTCTTTTTCAGAAAAATATGAAGTACTCTTCCTTGTATGCCCAAGGTTTAAAAATGTAATTTTCAAAATGGGCCAAGTCTTTGACTAGTGATATATAAACTGGGCTTCTTAGAAGTTAGTTTATAGAGGTACATTTGAAGAGGACGGAATTGACAGTACAATAAGCAAATGCCTATGGCTGGGAAACACCCAGGCCACGTTTGCAGCATCTTTCAAACTAAGTGTGTGAAATCATGCTGGGATATTTGTGAGCTTTGTCTTGCCACCTTTTTGAAGCAAAAAAAAATATGGACTCTCCTTCTATACTCTCCACAAATACAGACCATGAGCTTGTAGTGTGGACTACAAAGTCATAATACCGATTGAAATGCGTTATGTTTAAGTAGTGATGATCAATTTATAAAGGTCCTTTACATATGCAGCTTCGTATAATTCTTTCAATTATATGATGAGATATTACTATCTCTATTTTGCTATGAGTTTGGAGGTTGGTCTTAAGCTGAAGAGATAGATTTGGGAGTCAAGTCCGCTCAGTTTTGGAGAGTAATAGACTATGCAACTTTCCAGAATCGTACAAAGAAGTAATGAATGGTACACTGTCCTAGGAACTATTTGAAGGAAAGGAATGCTGTTTTCTTTAGCTTATTTGTCAGGAGAACTAGTCTTATCTGAAGCAAAGTTATTTTTGGAAGTGCACTTAGTTTGTAAAAAGGATGGGTGAGCTGACCTCATGCATTCAAATGTCCGGGATACAAGCTCCTGGCTATGAGGTCCTTAGGGTCTTTTTAGCCCGCAGACTGGATGTGCACCCAGTGGAAAGCAAAGTGTCTCTTTCCATGCTCACGCTACTGGAGCGGTTGAGTTGTGTTGGCTATAAAATGCCATGTTTGCTGTCACCTGGGAGACTTAATGAAGCATTCTCCATGCAGGAGGGATGATTCTGTCTGCTGACTCCTGGACTTGAAAGCAGATGGTGGAGGAGCCCACGGCTTCTGGAACAGCACAGGTGGAGGTCATGATTTCTGCTGTTGCCCTTTGTCTTCCTACTGAAAGGCTGATTGTCCCAGAAATGTTTAAGGAATATGTGTGAACATGTTTGTATGTGTAAATGTGTCTGTGTAAAATTAGTTTTGCTCCATAAATCCACTTTTCTCAAGAGAAAGGTAATAAATCAGGTTGGAAACACCCTCTTGAAGAACACTCATAGAAAAAAAATTAGATAGATACTTTCTAAGAACCCAAATATTTCAGTCATTTGAACAACTCAATTCTGGGTCTCTAAAATTCCTTCCTCTCCTTCCCTCCTCCAGTCCCCTTGTTATAGAAGCACCTGGGGAAAGATGTGCTTCACATCGGGCCAGTCAGGCAGGCACTTCCATGCCACTTTCCTGGCAAGAGGAAGGTCAGCTTTGTCGTCTGATTCGTTCTTAAGGTTCTCCAATTAGAGGCTTGTGAAAGAGCGCTGAGACTGTGGGTTTTGTGCATCTCTCATTCTCTCCCATCTTCTCCTTTCCCAGCCTCACTGTTTTTTAAGCATATTGAAAACACTTAAGATTGTGTTAGATCTTCAAGAGCCACTTGGCTGGTAACTCATCCCAATTGTTCTCAGATGCAAATGCAGTTGCCAAGTGGGCTGCCAGTAAGTCTCGATTCATTTCAATACATGTGTAGCCGTTTGAGAGTTAATAGAAAATTAGAATCAGAGCCAATATTGTCATGCATGGAGGTGACATAGGATCTAGACTCACGTGGCCAGAGTCAGGTCTGTGGTACTTGGTAAAGCAGAGCGGATCCAGCCTTGAGATCATGCTTTGCAGGTTCCCAAACACACTGGAAAGTGAAAGAGCTACCATTGTCAGTCCCACAAGTGTAGTTCTTACAAAAGAAAGACCCTAAGACATGAAAGAGCTTTTTATCACTTTGAAAACCTCTATCACTATTCAGAAGCAGAACTTTTGCACTTCCTCATGATTTTATTAAGTACTAAGCTAACTGAACAGGCACCTTTTAAGTGCCTGAAATAAATCATCTGACTTTTAAACGTCTCTAAAGAGTGTATATAGGTATGAAATTATATATAATGTTAATGAAAATAAGGACCATTAATTGCTCTTTGATTTTACAAAGGTGGTGATGCTCATTTGTAATTCCCACAGAGGGTGCAAACTGTGAGTAAAATTTCCTAGAGAACCAGACCCAAAATTAGTTCTTCTAAAAATATGATAGCTTCCAACAAATGACCTAGGCAGCTGAATACAATACAGGCTTGTGCTTCCCATGGAAGCTACATGCTCTTTGTTCAGTGTCTCAGGAGTTAATCAAGTAGCCACTCCAGATGACTGGCCAACAGGCAAAGGGGACTTGAGACCTTCTGACACTGAGACCTTCGGAAGCACCTTTGCCTTTCTATATACAGACTGTGCACATTGCCAGCTCACAGGCAGAAGAGCACTTTGTTGAGTTGTGTGTCAGCAGTGGAGATCAGTTTTCACCAAGCTACTCAAATTTTCCTCCCTCGTCTCAATTGTGACCAGCCACAGGCATTTGTAAATGTGTTCATGGTAGAGAATGGCCATAGGCCTTGAGCCTACAGGTATAGATTCCACGACCTTGGTCTACTTCAACCATAGCTATTTCTGAATGCACAGTTGGGCTGCACCCTTCATCCTTCTACCCGTCACCAATCTATCTCCCACGTTGTTCTAAAAATCATTGTTGGCTGTGGCTGGTTGTATTTCCAAAGACAGCTGCAACAATATCTCCCGCCCCACATGGTCTTCTTACAATGTGACTCCAGGGCTCCTCCCATTGAGTGCTGAACTCTGTGTCCCTTGTCCTTGAACATGGATGGAACTTTGTCATTGCCATGACCAGCAAAGTATGGCAGAAATAATACTCTGTGACTTCCCAGGATAGATCATTAAAATGCTATGCACTCCTGCCTTGTTCTTTTGGTGCAACTGGTCTTGGAATCCAGCTCCCTGCAAGAAAACCAGACTGTCTCCTACAGAACGTCCATGTGTAAATATTCCAGCCAATGGCCCAGCTGAGATCCCAGTGAAGTGCCAGCAAAACCCACCAGACACTGGCCTGCTGATGCCTCCAAATGATCCCAGTCGCTCTTTTTGAATCTCCCCATTAGGCCCCAGACATTAAAGAGGAGAGAGAAGCTGTTCCCACTGTGCTTCATCCAAATTCCTGACACACAGAATCCACGAGCGTAATAAAAAGATTGTTTTATGCCATTAATTTCTAGGGTAGTTTCTTACGCAGCAGTAGTAACTGGAACATTGTCAAAGCTTAGAGTTGGATTGCTTTCCAGCCCTGAAACAGAAAATCACATTCCATCCTCAGAGTCTTTCCATGGCCCATAAAAACCCTCACGTTTCCACAAGCTGCAAGCTTCAGTGAGAGCCAACGGAATGAAGTGTATGAGCTCAAAGTGCCTCAAGACAAAGACAGAGCTCTCTTCTGAAATACACTTTTTTTTTTTTCTTTTGCGGTACGCGGGCGTCTCACTGCTGTGGCCTCTCCCGTTGCAGAGCACAGGCTCCGGACGCGCAGGCTCAGCGGCCATGGCTCACGGGCCCAGCCGCTCCGCGGCATGTGGGATCTTCCCGGACCGGGGCACGAACCCGCATCCCCTGCATTGGCGGGTGGACCCTCAACCACTGCGCCACCAGGGAATCCCATGAAATATACATTTTTAAAAGTAAATAAAAGTCTACTTCATCCTTATTTAAAACATTTTCTTAATCCTGGTGCCTTGAAGGACAGTATTCTCTTGGAGGAAAACCTTAAAAGGGAGATGCATCCTTCCCTCCGTCTACAAATTAGAAGGGTCTTCTCTACATTTAAGGTGACCTGTCCTGCTGCCCCTGTACCACTTCCTCCAGTGCCAGAAGAGTTAAGCTCTCCTTCAGACCCACATAACATGACTTACTTAGATTTTAGACTGATTGGATGTTTCACATGCCTTGGTAGCCAGTCATAGCATTCAGCTTTATGGCTTAAATTATCACAAGGAAGAGGTCTGCCCCCTCCCAGGGCCATTGATACTCTCTTCTTGATTGAGCTGACATTAACCTTCCTCCCTACACATACATGAAAAGGAAAAAGAAAAAAGTCACTAATTCCCTCCTTCCTCCACTCTCACATGAGTAAATGCTGACATTTGCCCCAAGACTATTCTTTGGCTTTTGTTTCCACTTGTGGGAGTCTCCTTAGAAGGTCTCAAGGGAACACCATGGTGTTTTATCCACACCCAGGCGATCAGACCAGCCTCTCCTTGTATGGCTTGTCCTAAAGCCCGCATCTGCAGTGTTTGGTGGTAAACAATGTCCGCATGCCCAAGTGCCCCTTATCAACCCAAATCAGGCAAAGGCCTCTTCAATTTCCTTTACTCATCAATCTCAGAGGCCAGACAATACATAATTTCCTCCACCATCAGGCTGTTGGGAAAGTGCATCTTGTTCGGAACTAGACACTTGCTCCCAGAGATGACAGTTTGATTTGAATCCCCAGGAATCAGAGAAAACAATCAAAGTGGGAAGCGGATACAAGATTTCCAATTGCCAGGCCACCAAACATGGTCGCTCTCAGATCGGCTTGTCCCGGGGTCAGGAGGAAAACATTTGATGAAATGTAGGATTTCAGTGGCAGCTGAAGAAGCACCTGTAATATGGATTGAAGGGTCACCCTGGGGAAAGCGGAGGAAAAGTTCAAAGCCAAGGAATGATTTAGGACAAAGAGAAAAAACTATAAACCCCAAAGTACTAGCTGCAATGCTAGTCATTGATTGCCAGTATCTTATTTGAATTCAGCCAAGTTCTTGTTCAAAGAGTATGTTGGTATTATGCCTGTCCCAGTGTAGGACAGCCACAAAGGTAACTTTCCCAAAGGTTTCATCCATTTTGTGAGCCATATTTAGGCATTTCACCCACATTTAATTTACGGAAAGGACCACTAGGCTAGGTGTCAGAAAATCCTGGTACTAGACCAACTCTATTAGAAAGGACCCGTATAATGGAACCTTAATATCCAATAGGCATTCTGGCTTGCTGAGACCTCTACACTATTGCCTCACTCTCCTTTTTCTAAATGATGTAGAATTCCACAATTTCCCGTTTTCTGTAAATTTCTGGAATGAGGTAAATGTTGCCGTGGTACCTCTGATCTTGGTTCATCTTTCAATATGTGTTATCTCTTCTAAATCCTTTCAACCTACACATAAAACCTGGTCTCTCCCTCCTTGTCTGCATAACATACCTATTCACATCAAGCATCTGAGGAGAAGAACACCGTGCATCGTGTAGCAAGCCTTGTAGAAACACAGGTCAGGCGCTTCTCCTCCATAAAATCTTTCTGGTAACCCTGCCAACCCCAGCTTCCTGGTCCTCCATCGCCACCTTCAACTATGGGGTTTGACCTTCTATGCAGCCCTTCCTCCCCTCTCTTTTCTTTCTCTTCTCCTCCAAAGACCGATAATTGAAAGCCCTTCCCCTTTTTATCCCAAAGGGCACTTTAATAATTTCTTCGGTTGTCTAACAATAGCAAACAAAAGATCCTATAAAAAAGCTAGCCCTGTATCTAACTGAAATCATGATGGCAACTGGGCATTAAGAAAGGCACTTCCCATCTTGGTACTTGAGTTTCTCATTTTTAAGATGCCAGAGTGGAACTGTGATTCCCCACTTTGGGATTCTCCTAGAGCCCATCGGGAGCCAACGCTGTGCACGTGGGAAAGAAATGTCAGCATATGGGCATCTGGGCTAATAAATGGATCTGCTAATCCTGTTTTACTTGAAAAGTGAAATTCAAGGAAAACCCGGGGGGATGTTAACGTTGCTAAGCACAGTCCTGTGCTGTTTTAAAAAATATGTTCATTCCTGCTCTACCACTACTCATCTGTGAAACTGGGTAATTAGTTAACATATCTGAGCTTCCCTTTTTATCAATTTTGCATTTGTAACATGCTGTGATTAGTTTAGTCATCTCTAAGGTGCACTGCACCACTTTGAGTGACTGTTTGATGAGATGTAATAAAGCTCAAACAACACGCTATGGCTTACATTTCTACTCCCAGGTGTAAACCCAACAGAAACGCACACACATGCCCCCCAAAAGACGTACGCGAGAGTGTTCACAGCAGCACTATTCATAATGGTCCTGGAGTG